AGCTAGTATTGCCCTTAAGCAATCTGTAGAAGAAAGAAACGGCCTGGTGTTGGCACGATGCTCAAGAACGTGCATTCAACTCGCTAAAGATCATGCCCCAACAAGCACCAATACTGCAGTTCCCGGATTTCAGAAAGCCTTTCATTGTCACTACGGATGCTTCGCATCAATGTGTTGGAGGTGTCTTGCCACAACAGCATGAAGACATCGCTCTACCAGTGGCCTACTATTCGCAGAACTTTGTGTTCATGAGATCAACTGGCCAGTCCACGAAAAGGAGCTCTATGCAATAAAACAAGCGCTAAAACGCTGGTGACACTATCTCCATGGCACCGAATTCACCGTCATTACCGACAACAGCGCCTGCAAGTGGTTCTTATCGCATAAAAATGTATCAAACAGACTGGCTCGGTGGTTGGATTTCTTTGGTCAATTCCAGTTCGAGCTGAAGCAACGACCTAATCATCAGAATGTCGTCGCAGACGCGCTGTCACGTCCGCCACTTGCCACCGAACCTACTTCAATTCGTGATCAAAAGGTTTTCCTGGGGAAGAAGGTCAGTCCATCAAGCTCACAAGTGACAAGTGTCAACCGGAACCAAGTAAGCCTTTATCCAACAAGGAACCGTCATGCAGAACAACGTGATAAGCTTTGAAGACTCGGACACGATCATCACTGCGCACATGGAATACAAGACAAAGAAGGGTGTTCAAGAAGCCTACGAGAAGGACAGCTCTTTCAGAGACGTCTTCCGAGGCGATCGACAGGACAAGAGATTTGTGAAAATAAACGGACTCATCTACTTGAGCAGCGACAACAAATCCAAGAGACTCTGCAATCCAGACGACGACAAGATCAAGGTTGCCATCCTGCATAACAGTCATGACGCAGCAAGCGCAGCATATTCAGACGTGGTGTTAATAATTATATTAGTATAGATGTATTATCTGGATGATAAGACCCTACAAAAGGGGTGTTCGTGGTTGGTGGGCTTCTGGTCGCACGTCTGACATTAAAGTATTATTAGAGCCAGTCAGCCGTATATACTTATCGTTAGTGAAAAAAGAGTAGTTGTTAGTATATATGCACCCTTGAAATAGCAAGGCTAAAACATCTGGTTAAGATAGATGCTTCTAATTTCGCTATTGGTAGAAGTGTGCGAGACCAACCTCTGGGCATTTCTCAACGCAGACTTTTGAGTCGGAACTTTCTCTGTATAAAATTTAAGGCAACTTCGTTGTACTTAGTAGCACTTGGAGACATTCCCACGATCGTGTGAACAGATTGCATCTTCTGTGATGATGGAACTTTTAATGTCTGAATACCTGTCACGGGGTCAAGGAGACCAGCGCAACAAATTAAAGTCTACCCTTTGCTCTGACTGACTTTGTGAAACGGCCACGAAAGGGCCAATGGTAGTACTCGCTCACCTGGAAACGCTCACCAGCTATAAAGTTGTGCTTATCAGACACCTCCGGGACGGCACCAACCGGTTACCAATCGATGCGTAAGAGAACGCTGGTTAAAACCGCCTCTCAAACATAACACAGATGCTAGCGCAATTGGGAAGCGATTCTCGACGTGGACGGAAAAGTAAAGTCTTGATGTGGAAGAAAAATGTCATGAGGGCTTAAAGGCAGATTTGCAACTGAACTAAAGTAAATCAGTGGTTTCTGGAGCTATATGCAAAACACCCCAAGAGCTCCTAGAGGTTTTACCAAATAAAATGTAGGGCTTCTTGACATAGGATCTGTACTATTAGGGTGTTGTGAGGCTGAAACTCAGCTCGAACTTATACAAGATGTTGTGTATACGAACTTCAACTTGCGCAAAAATTCCCAGAAGAAATGAACGCTTTATGCCACCCACTTTTAACCTAGACACGTCGGTCTCGACACTAGTGCAAATACCTATGTTGTAACCAGCATTCTCTATCACACATCATGTTTGAGTCTCTGTAGAAGATGTCACATATGCATTTAAGGACACCATACTTTAATCCTATGAATTCCTACAATGCGCGTGGATGGCACATAGATATAGCTCCGTGTCATGGCCAAGTGTAGTCCATTACATGACCGTTTAGGCTCTAAACAATGGAAGTTGAGATAACCATGAGTTGAGCCATACCCCAACCGGAGCCATAGCCATTTGCGGTTGTTGGCCTTCAAACTAGGAGGCCGCGCCTATCACTATCATGCATAATCTCTCCTAGATAAGTTTTTAAACATTGGAGAATCGAAAGCGCCAGAAATAGCAGATGTTTGTACATGATAACCAAGCGTACCAAACGCGTTTTAAGTTCTTGCTCACCTGTCAAGAAGGCGAGAGCTGATTATCTCATTCATTTTGGAAGTCTTTTATTCCGCAATAGTGTCAAAACCGATTATGGAGGCGGTAACGCTTACCATTTTCTGAGGTGGTCTTTGATCGGGTCTGGTGAATCGAGACCTTCCACGTCCACCATATCTCGTGCGATAAATTGGTGATTGTCGTAATGAAAACAGAGTTAACCTTCCGTGTCTCTCTTGGCGGCACCTGAAGTGAACTTATATGCATGATCCAGAGGAAATAAATCTTAGCAATGTTGAAAAGAAAAAGCGAAGCTCGGCCAAGCAGCTTCGTTGTTTTGAGGATGTTGTAATTATGGAGGTACAAAACATTTCGGTGTTATGTATTGTAACATGTGGATGTAATGACGAATGGGACCCAATTAAATAGAAGCGAATTTCTCAAAGAGCCGTGATGACAAAGCCTCGGGTTGTCGGTTGTGACGACCGGGTGTGAAAATGTGTAGCATTCTGTAGATTCAGCGACTTCGTGTAATTATGTACGGCGAACAACTGTCAAAAACAAGAGGCCACATGCAGAGACGTTAAAGATGCCAAATACGGGTACAATATACGTGCGTCCTGCGACAGGGATACTGGTAAAAGTGTCGAAGGTTTTGTTAAATTTTATTAAAGATGAAGACTTCGACAGCGTGGAGAATTCATCTCACCCTGAACCTAGTTATGGCGTGACTGAAATGTCATGCGCCATGAATATTACGCACTACTATCCTGGTAGAACTTTGGCGAATCATAGGCTGATTTCATTTATCAAGCAGGAACATATTTGGCGCGGGTATGAAGACGCGATAGCTTCCATGTCGGACGTAGCATTGTTTGGATTGAAAGCAATTGTATTTCAAAGTGCCTAAAACAAGGATCGAAAGGTAGAAGCGGCGGTGTCTAGTTGAGATTGGAAAATACGACTGAATGTGGTCCCCAGAATCAAATTTCTGACGGGACAATAGAGAACGTATGTAATCTGGTGTTTCCTTGCCAGGGTCTTTGAAGAGTGGAAGCAACTGAATGTTACAGAGCAACGCGTCAGAGCGGGTGGGATTGAAAGGCGACTAAACGTTACGTTCAGAAGACCCCGGTTCATAATATAAAAATTATAAAAAACTTATTTACGATGTTACGGTACTGCTAAGCCAGCGTTGCCTAGTGTCTTCCTTCACTTCCTCGGTAAAGAGTCTTATAGAGCCGGAAGAATCATCTCTCAAGGATACGCGCAAGAAACAGTGAGACGTTAAAGTAGCCAAGATGGTACGTTTGTTACCGATGGAGGAGCTGAGCTCAATATCAGTTGAGAAAATTTGCAGAACACTGAGTGCGAGGAGTGACACAGCTGGACGGCTTGTACGCATAGGCGTGTAAGTGTCCGCCCCCGGCGCGGCGATTACCGTCTAACAGATGAAGCCCATAGTCACGACGTAATAAAATTGGCAATCTGACAGGTTCTCTCTGTCATGTGAAAAAGAATATTACGACGCGGCGATGAGAGGTGCATCACTCGTGTAATCCCCGGATAGGGGAGTGCGTCGTGAAATTGACTCGATTCCGGAACCGAATATTGCGTCACACAGCAATGGCTTTAATCAAGGTTACAGTGTGACGTGATTGATGATTGCTTACGTAGAAAGCATGAGGCGGAGGGTGTGAAAAAGTAAATATCACACTCGATGCCAACTATCCGGGTATAAAAACTACCGGTAAGTGGCAAATTGTTCATGCTTGTAATGAGCTCAATATAGTCACATTTCGCTGGTGACTAGAAATAATGTGACACGGCACAGCATGATGTGCTGCACTTTGTTTGAAGTTATCAGCCTTGGTAATAGATATTTAAAAGAATTAATGAGAAGCAGCGATGTCCCTCTCACAGCGGTGAGTTCTTTGAGAGTTTTATGTCACCGAGACTGCTACTGCACTAGCAACGTTCTATTGCCTGCTGTCACCGCTAATCACGACCTATGCACAAAACCACTTCGACGATATATTAGCCCGTAGTCGTGGAGAGCACGAGATTTCGGATGCGAAAGACCCCATTAATCACTTGTAGGCTGTGCTTGAGTAAATGCGCTTCGATAAGCCGTTGTCAACAAAGATCAGTGTGTATTCGGCGCCGACGAATCCCATTTCTGAGTTCCTTTATCAAGAAGCATGGTATGCGGGCAGATCTCGCAAAAAAAGGTCATTGTAAATTGGCCAGTACTTCTGCCCAAAAGGACTTGAGGAAATGGCTTGGCTTGGCTAGACAGACTACTTGTGTCACGTAGCGCAGGCGAGGAAACGCTAGCGGAGGAAGGCGAAGTCGGGAGCGCAAGGTGAGCGCTGGTGGAGGCTGCTGGTTAGGAGGCCCTGCTGGCTTAGAGGGAAAATGAGAAGTGATTTATTGATCGTTCAGTTTATCGGGACGCTGG